TATATATATATATATAAGCATAAACTTTAGTGCCATGTATTATCAAAAATATAAGGAATTTGACTCCAGCCCAATGGCCCCTGATGTTCACAACAATAGGTAAGTGGGTAGGACTTTATTGATCCCACAATGGGGAAATTCTTGTGTTCCAGCAGCAATAAAGAGCAGCAACAAAACACCATAAAAACAAACACCATACACATATCATGAGAAACAAGGGAAGCACCGACACCACTTTTTTCAGACCAAGTATACTACAAGTATGAGTACTTACATTGGAATACTTGCTGATACCAAGTACTGATACAAGTACTTAAGGATGTATTGGTTCTACTGTAAAATACTACAATTACCATAAAAGTGCAATGACTTCGGAGACAGTATTACATTTTATGAGATTTACTTTCTGATAGTGATGAAAGAATCCTATGTAACTGAAGTCTGTGATAATTACCTGAAAACTTTGTGATAAACAGCACTGCCACTATTCCTACTGAATAATGTGTAACTGACTGAATGTCTGTAGCCTACTACACAGCAGACTGTAATACAGTGGATCTTAATCCTTTTAGGAGCGTGACCCTGGGTTAGGATTAGGGTTGCAACAGTATGATATGTTCATGGTAAGATAACCATCTCAGAAAATATCACAGTTTCCCGGTATATGGGATTATACAAATACTATTATTATCAGTTACAATGACACTCCGAAGAATGAAAAAAGTCTTATGTATTACAAGTATAACATGTTATTTTGCATATTAACACCAGCAGTTGAGGAAATATTTACATCCTTTAATTAAACTGAAGTACTGATATCACATTGTAAAAGTAGACTACGTTGTTAACAAAAGTCCTGCATTAATAATGTTAAAAGTATTAACAAAAATACTACTAAAAATACTAAAAGTATTAGTAAGCTACTCAATGCAAAAATGTTATACTATACTGTATATCATATACAGTTATATTACTATATATTCGGTATTACATTTTCAGCCTATCGCTCATGCACTGACGTAAAAGCAGGACTTGACTGTTGTAGCTTGTTGAGGTGTAGCTATGCTGAACTAGTTTGGATCCAAATGTAACTGCAGATTATTTTCATTATAGATCAACCTGCGGATTATTTCTCTATTAATCAACTGACTGGTTTGTAGAACGTCTGACAGTAGTGAAACATGGTGTCACACTGCTCTAAATGATTATCAAAATAGTAATAATTTAATGTAGTGCACGAGAGCGCAGCCAGGCCTGTCTGTACCTTCACTCACTCACTCTCTCTCTCACACACACACACACACACACACACACACGCTGTTTTCATTCTTTGTTGGGACCTTGCATTGACTTACATTCATTTCCTGTAGACTTATCCTAACCTTAACTATAACCACTACTTGCCTAACCCTAACCTAACACCTAATCTCATCCTAACTTTAAACCATGTTACCACCCTAAAATTCACAAGGATGGCCGAGTCCCCATAATGTGAGTGTTTTTCTAAGGTTTTTTCAGTTTACTATGACCTGGATGACTGAGAATCTGCACAGACATAATGTGAGTGTGTTAGCAGGTTTTGGTCCCTATAATGTAAGCAATACAAAGGCACACACACACGAGCCGGGAACATTTGAGTGTGTTTCTGGGGTCAGATTGGGATCAGTGCAAGTTCTTTTATAAATCAGAGATTCACGAACAACAGATTTGGAAATTATTTCGATAGCACATTTTTACAGCAGACGTTTATTGTTTGGGATTAAAGTTATAAACAGGACACATGCTTTGATCTGCACAGAGGGATGTTGTTCTTGAAGGTGTTTTTTTTTTTAGCTATCAGCAGAGGATTATTTTAATCCTGTGCAGATTTAGATTTTTTT